ACCATTCTTGCGTCCTGCTCAGACACCAAGTGGTGGGACATCCTCGGCGAGGGTGAACATCTTTGTTGGAGCTTTGGTTCCAGGAGCCCTCATTACTTAAGGACACGACAAGGTATGAGTTTATAAAGAAAGGGAACAAAAAGATCCCACGTCTTGGCAATGGGATGCTCACTGTTAAGAACGCAGGTGGTTTTAAAACAGCCTCTTCTAGTCCACGAGAAGTAATGCCACCACAAGCATTTCATACTACAGCCTGGACTTCCCATCAGCTTTCTGCAGGTCACTCCAGGGGCAGACTGGGCAGTGTTACTTCCTATTCCTCCTCCACGTGTCCAGGGCTTGGGACCGCAGGCGGCAAGGGAACATCGAAGCCCCAGAACTGCTCGAAAATGCATCGATTAAAAATGAATCACTGAGAAAACCGCAGTTGTTATTGAGACTGGAGAAGCTGACTTAGCAGCAGGTATATGTGGCTGTGGCCAGCCCTCGTGCCCCTCCATGCACTGGAAACCCAAGCTAGAATTTAATTCAGTAGCTGCTGCAGCAGCTGACTCCACCCTAAAAAGCCCCTAGCCCTACTCCCATGTGTGGTTGGCGCAGAGGTTTAGTATTCAGAAGTGCCTGCTACCAGCTCGCTGAGAAAATTAATTTTCAGCTCTAGGATGGCTCTTAAGGGGAGGCCCTATTGACCTGAACAGAAAATGATGGAGTCCTCACACTCTTTGCTGCAATATTTAATAGCTGAGCGGCAGTTAATTAGATTACTGAGCCACTGCGACAGATGCTAAGCAACACGTGAGAAGCACAGGGGGGAATTTGGGAAAGCCATTATAATTCAGCGCTGGAAACGTGCAGCACGCTCTCCTGTTAACCCTTGTTGTGCCTCACACAAAGTCCAGCCTGGCATCTCCAATCCAAGAGCAACCCAATGCTCTGGTTGTTTCTATCTTGAGGTGCTGGCAGTCTCCGAAAGGCAGGCAGTGGGCAAATGCCAGATGGAAGTGTCAGCAACATCCCCTATGCCCAGCTGGCATTAGGGACACGTTCATGGGGAAATCCTAAAAGGCTCCTGTAATGTCCATATGCTCTGTTACTCCGAGGCACACCCCGATGCCAAGTAGGAGCAAGGAGTTAACAGGGCATTACAGGGCTGGAGCGCTACTTTTTGGTCTAGGGAACTTTAAATGAGAGCTGGAAGTCAATGCGGATATGGAGGCGGCCTCCTCCAGAAACCCCCATCCACTTTCTTGGGGTAAATGCCCTCTAGAGAAACCCTGCCAAGCCACCTATGCCCTTCCATCCCAGTGCCTGGCCAGTGCATCAAGTCCTCCTCCTCTCCTGATCAGCTGCCTGAGCTGCAAACAGGACAGTAGGCATCCCAATGGTGGAGGATCTGTGCCAAGCATTCTGGAAGAAGTGGTGCCAAATTTCCTAGCAAGCTAGTGGGGAATGCTGCCCAGATCCATATTTGCCTTATAACACACATCAGGAAGGCTTTTAGGAAGTGCTGCCTTTCACCTGCCAGATGCTCTTTGGCACACTTGCATGGATAATCTATAGGGTGATTTTAATGACAAAACAACAGACCCAAAACCCATGACCAACATGGTAGCTCAGCCACCCCGGGAGAAGCAAGTGGGAAAGCAGCTGCCAGCCCTTCTGTCAAAGTTTCCATTTCCTTGTTACTGTGATCAGCTGAGGGAAAAGCCCCAGAAAGAGTCCACAGTTACTTGGGACTGAGTGTGAAAGCCCTTCCCCGACCATCTCCCTAGTAACATGCACTCTGCTCCCAGCGACTGCCCCCTCTTCCATCCCCACCACGTCTCACACTGGAGTCTGTAGGGCAAGAGGGCAGATATTTGAAAGGCAGGGCAGATTTGCATCTTTAACTAACCAAAAGTAGAGATATGTAGCACAAGCTTTTCTGAACTGAAGCTCACTTCATCAGTTGCTGTGGAAGGACATGCAACAGGTGGTCTATAATCATTCTGGTGTCACATCTGATCTTCAAAAACAAATGCATTGTGACCTCTCCTGTCCCACACCCCAAAAAGTAAATGCACCCATGCTTTTTACCTTGGACATCCCTGCTCCCCCACCAGCATACCAAGGGTTAAGCCCTTCACGTCTATACTCATCAGCATCAAGCAATTACCCAGATACCCAGCACAGAAGACAAGCTGTCTAGGCATTTCTGAAGTGCTCAATCACCATTATGTCTCCCAGAAGGTCTGCTACACAAGCATTATTAAACGCATGATAGAAACATGTTGCTTGCACCTCCCTGGGGCACCTGGGGATGGAAAGCTGTCTGAGTCTCAAAAGACACCAAAAGGACTGGCTTGAAATAATTACTGTATGAGAGCAAATGGAGGTGTCAGACCTACGGCATTATAAGTCTCATCACTCTACATTTCTGTGCTTTCTAACATACACCCAGCTTGTTAGGAAATGGGCACACCCCCCGGAGCAAGACTAGAATAAGCAATCTTGGTGTGAAGCAGAGATGCACATTTAGGTGGTAACAGCGAAGTGTCAGGTTAAATACCCTCTTACCTGGTTGGGCTTGTGGGCCAACACCTCTCAGGCTGGCAGGTGCTTCCACGTGCTGACGAAAGCCGTGGGTATGAGCGAGTAAGGCACGGTTGTTATACAGTTCCACGTGTCTGAGGTAGGGTCGTAACAGTCCAGTGTTTTGCACCGTTGAGTCCCAAAGTATCCTCCCACCACGTACAGTTTGTTCCCCGAGGCTAATGCGTGGCACGACATGCGTTTGGCAGTCATGTCCCCAATGCGAGTCCACTGGTCTGTCTCGCAGTCAAAGCGGTAGGCGGATGCCGCTGTATATTCACTGTCACCTCCCATGATGAAAATCTGGCTGCCCAGGACAGCAGCTGCTGTGTAGCGCCAGGGCTGGGGGCACTCTGCTTTGATCATCCACCGGTTCTCAGCGGGGTCGTAGCACTGCACCTTGGAGACCATGTCCCGGTGAATGCTAGTCCCGCCAAAGACAAAAAGCTTGAGCCGGGCACTCACCACTGCAGCATTGCTGACTCCGTCCCTCAATGGGGCCACCATGGTCCATTTGTTGGCTGTGGGATCGTACTTCTCCACCTGCTTCAAGGAGACAGAGGGAGAGGCAGGGAAGACGCCAGCCACTGCAGTATGGCCACCGACCACATACAGGCAGTTTTCCAGTTCAGCTGAGCCATGCCCAAACCGAGCTATCAACATGGGGGCAGCTTTGGACCATTCCTCGTGCACGGTATCATACACCCAGACATCTTTTGAGACCCCGTTCTCAGAGCCCCTCCCGCCAGTGATGTACACTTTGCAGCCGATGGCACAGGCACTAAACTCTTTCCTTGGGCTTGGCAGGTCTGCTTTGGGAATAATCTCCTTGGCTTTGCGATCTACTTGATATATCTTGTCACACATAAAGGTCTGGCCGCCCAGGATCAGCAAGGTATGCCCAGCTTTGCGAGGCCGGGCGCAGAGGCTGGTGACCACCCCGTCATTCTGGAGGATCTTCTTCTTGCAGCGAATAGCCTCGTCCAAGATGACCTTGTTACTCTCATCGGCCATGATCAAGTTCTCACAAGCCATGGCTTCCTTGAGGCACTCTGAAGGCAGTAAGGCTAGACGCATGTTTCTCAGCAGCTCTGGGAGGTGAACCCGCCGTTCATCCAAATCGTACTTCACCCACTGGAGGACCGCCTTGAAGACCTTCTCCTCATCCTCGATCTCCAGCTCGTCGCTTGAGATGAGGTCCAGCAGCGTGTCCTTGGAGAGGTTGTTGAAGTCCTCGCTCTTGTGCACGGTTTCAAAGTTGACCAGGCACATTCTCCAGGAGAGCTCGTAGAGCCGCCGGCACTGGTGAGCGTCCGAGAGCAGCATCATGCCCAGGCAGTTGGAGGGGTGCAGGTTCTTCTCGAGGAACTCGGCCGCTGCATCGCGGACGTCGTGGAACTGAAGCATGTCGCTGGCCTCCAGCAGGGACTCCGCGTTCTCCTCATTGATGATGATGCGAGAGGAGTATGCGAAGTCCAGCAGAAGCTCCAGCACCTCTGGGTGGAGGCTGTCATGGAAATTCACCTCATCATCCAGGCTTTCCCGGAGACCATTGCTGAACATGGCCTCAAAGTATCTGCTGGAGGCAGCCAGGATGGCCCGATGGCACGGGAAGGATCTGTTCCCGGCCCAGAGGGTGACATCGGTGAACATGCAATGTTTCCGGAGAGTGTTGAGGTGGGACAATACGCAGTCCGGGTGGGAAGCTTTGTGGAAAAGTAAGATATTCATGGAGCCGGTGCTAGTCCGGGATTTACGGTTCTCGTGGACGCTGACTGACATGATGACACGGGTACCGTCTACAGAGAAACAGAGAAAATATAGCGTAATGTCAGGGGACTACTGATGAAACACAGCAACAGTGAGAACTGGGAGCATAGTGCAGACATCATTTGAACCAAATTTCCCCCTTCCCACTGATCTGTTAATGGATCTCAAACCTTGCTCCAAAACCATCCCCAGTGGCCCAGCGTGGGCCCTTTCCAGCTCTGCTCCTGCTCCTCGGTCTGGATCTGCAGCGTGGCTTTTTACAGCGCACCTTCAAAATTCGCCATTACTCTTCCAGAGCTCAATTTGTGGGCAAACATGGCAGCAAAAGGGCGCTCTGCATTTCAGCTTCAACAATCAAGCTCCAAAATGAAGCAATTAAACCCCAAAATGAAACAGCAAATTTTCTGATCAGCCCCTGAAGGGCACACGGGCAAACTGCAGAGCGCTCGGTCTTCCTCCACCAAGAGCTGAAGAAGGCCGTCTCTCCAGGGTAAAGGGCACTGGGCGTGTTTTTGGCTCACGTCAGGTCACGCTGCCTTCTGATCTAGGAGAGATTATTGCAGGTTTGGAAAAGGAGATTGCTACTGCATTTATTTATGGGATAAGTGGCTATTAGTGGCAGCCAAAGATTTCAGACTTTGCCAAATCTTTCTATGCTAGTTTCTGGCTGCTGAATCCCAGCAGACACTCCCACGTGACTTATCTGCTTTATACAACAGACCAGCACCTGGCTATCTGACAAAGGAGCCAGCTATCTTGTGCTTTCTCCCAGACAGGCAGAAGCAATACAGCATTGTCTCAGGCACCTCTGCTTAGCACTGTCTCACGCAATTGCTATCTGATGCCCGTACTTCTTGGCTAAATATGGATGGAGCACAATAGCACGGACAAACTCGCAGAGTTTGGATGACTGGATCCGATGAGGCCATTTGTTCCAAAACATCCCCTTCCGGATTTTCAACCAGCCTGCCTTCTCCTACCTGCCACTAACACGTGAGCCCAAATACGGGGGCAATTTCATTCTGCAAGTATAAATCTGCGACTGATCTGCATTTTGTAAAAACTGAGTATCAAAAAGAAAGAAAACAGAGCTGGAAGCTGGAAAACGGAGCCCTAATTTACAACGCAGGTGCAGAAGGCAGCACCCTTTATAAGACATGACACTCAGGGCAGAAAAAACCAGAAAACCCACCACCCGCCTGTCACTTGGGATATCAAGAACCCATAAACTACTGCGGGAGATTGTGTCCAAGAGCGAGGGAGGCTCACCGCACTGCCTCTGCAGAGCTTCACTCTCACCAGTTCCCCCTCCCCCCCCCAATGTTTTGTTCATCCATCAAAGCCCCAAAACGAAGCCTCACAACAGCCAGTGTGATGTCACCCATTGTGATGTCACACGTTCCCAACACCCTGGGGCTGCACAGACCCGCTCGGCCCATTGCTAAAGGTTCCTGGCCTGACTGCTGAGGACCCTGGCTTGTCACAAGTATAGAGGGGTGACGTGGCCTTCTGGCATGGACAGTTGCCTTGTGTTGGACCATAAAACTCCCTGGTGTCGCTTCTGCAGCTAAAATCCAGGCTCGGAGGGCAGATATTAAGAGATCAGGCCAAACCATTTGAAAAATTCAAGGATACTTGGTCTTTGAAAACATCTGCACAGACTGCCACTGAGGGTGCTGGACCGGCCATATGGAGGGGCCAGGAGGCCAGAACAGAGTGCACAGGGATGTGCGCTGTGCTGGGGACAGGGACAGAAGTGCAATCAGGGTCCAGGGGCTGATTTGGATGCATCCGTGTTGCTTTAAGAATCGGATCCAAACCCTGCCTGCCCCATTCTCCCAACAGCAGAGCGGCCCTTCCTTTTCTGTTCCCTTCCCCACTGAAACACTCCTCCGCGGGTCGAGTATCACTTGTTCAGCCAGAGGCATAGGGCTGTCACCGTGTACGTCTATGGAAATCACAAGAAACCCCCCCACATATCCCCAAGCCCACTCAAAAAAAAAAAAAAAAAAAAATAAGGAGATTTTTCAAAACAATTCAAAAAA